AACACTAGTTATACTGTTAATATCACTGGAGGAGACAACAGAATGTATAATCTCACAGGATTAATACCATATACTAACTATACTGTGAGTATAATACCTTATAACTATAATATGAGTGGACCAGCTAGACAAGAATTACAATTAACTGCTGAGTCAAGTAAGCCAACATGAGATATTGATCAGTTTAACATGATCTTAACATAGTTCCTGGTCTAATATCTGATCTAATACAAACAAACACTACACTAACTGAGATCGATATTACATGGAATCCTCCTACAATACCTAATGGTATCATTACAGTATATGAGATAAGATATAGAGAGTCTACCAGTACTGGTCCATACAATATAACTAACACTACTAACACTTATTACAGTATAGTAGGATTGATACCTAATACTAGTTATACTATTGGAGTGAGAGCATATACTAGTATTGGACCAGGAGAATGGACTAATCAATCCTTCTCAACTGATGAAATAGGTAAACTTTCCATTAAAATTCGCAGCATTACAATATACTACTTTCATAGCAAAAATAAGTAATTTCACTGTCATTCATCTCAACTCAACTTCTGTACAAGTGAATTGGCTACCCATTCCAGGGGCCAGTTACTACACTATTTATTACAACAGTGTATATGATGATTCAATGAATGTTAGCAATGAAACAAATCAAAGTATTATATCAGGACTATACTCATGCCTCAGTTACTCATTTGAGATGTCAATGACTGTAGAAATAAATGGAAATTATTATGAAGGACCTAGAACTGAACCAACAGGTAAAGTAATGTTAAAATATACAATATTTAACTAATCAAATATTTTAGTTATTTGTACAGAAGACGTACCAACAGTGAATCCTTCAACTTACACTTCAACTTACAGTAAAACAATAAGTATAATTACAAATGTGTTAATAATAATAATAATAACGTTTACATTACTGTGATTTCAGTTTTAATGTGTGGTTGTTGAATGTACAAATTGGCAACAACATTTGTACTTTCAATTCCTATTGGATTCTATATAAAAAAAGCATCATAAACGCAACCATTTTGTATAAGGCAAATCAAAATAAAAGCCACTAAAACAAATCATTTTTGTTGTTATACAAATAGCAGGTACTGTAAAGTGATATTTAATATTTCTTACTTTAGCTATGACATCTCCTACTTCAACACCGAGTGGTGTTTTCAGTGATGAGTTCACAAACATATCAACTTTGTATGTATGTCCACCACTACTGGGTCTCTCTTTATTTATCAACATTATATTTGTATGTGTGATGATTGGAATGTGCTGTAAGAAGAAGAAGATAGCTTATAATGTCAAGTAAGAGATAGAGAGAACAGAAGAGTGAGGGGGAATAAGAGAGAAATAAATGTGGAGAAGAAAGAGTACAAATCAGCTTAATTTTTGGTATATTCTCAATTTTTCAGTGCTACAGGTACTATAAGGCCCATCAAATTAAAGAAGAATCCAGTACACAACTATGCTGTCATTGAGTAAGTATATAAAGAATAAATATGATAAGAATCACTGCATAATAATACTATCATAACAGGCCCCCAGTAATTCAAAATCCACAAGAAGTCGTTTACGATTCTCCCTTGGAATTGTCATCATTTGAACTTCAACCGAGAATTCAACCTCCACCCACCCACTATAGAGTAATGGCAGAACAAGAAAATCAACAATAATAAATTATATAAATAAAACTCCATGCACAAGCTGTGTTTGTTGGTATATGCACATCATTAGATTGCAAGTAGCTAATATAAAGCTGTGTGTACTATTATTATCTACAGCTATTTTTCATGTACAATTAAATCTTTGCTTGCATCAGGGCATTGCCCTGTGTAACAGAACTGCCCTAGATCCAAACAGTAGTATCCTTTAGGAAAATTAGTATAAGCGATGTACCATCAAACTGAATGTATAAGTGAATGTATCAGTTTTATAAAGGAAATGGGTAAGTGAGTTAAACAACAACACATATGTATGTGTGTTTCCTCATGTGAGTTGTTATTTACCAAGTATTTGCATGTTGATACCTTTCTGTGCACTATTTCTTCTGTGAAGATGTTGAGGGCATTGCTTCTTCTTGTTGGCTTCCTCCTGTTGAGAGTTGAAGGACAACAACCTAATAACCTGCCTAGTAATGGTAAGAATATTCTTAAATAAGAGTTTTATTACTTGTGTGATATATAGGCACTCAGTTGTACTTACCTTATGAGGATAGGATAATACCTAATTACTCTATGATATATGCTAGACAGTTTTACAATGTTGATCAGAATAATGATGTTAATGATATCAATGATGCTTTGTGGTGTCAGAGTGCTAATAATGGTACTAATATTGGAGTGTGGTATTATCCTAATGGAACTGAAGTACCTT